GGTGAACTTCCTTTCTGGACCTTAGCAGCCACTGATTATCAATGCTTCCACCCACTAAACCACAAACATGAAGAGTGACTATAAAATTGGTGACTTCAAAAGAGATTTTTGCTTTAATAGTGTTGTGGAATAGGTTTTTTTGTACACTGTGAATATGTGTCTTTATCAAGGCACCTTCTGATTAGTTTAATAAAAAGCTAAGGGCCGTTAGCAATGCAGAAGGGCAGAAGGTATTGGTGAGAGCCAGACAGAGAGAATTCTGGAGAGAAGAACGGTGGAGTCACCAGCAGATAAGAGGAAACAGACATGCAAGGAAAGAGGTAAAAGCCACAAGTCACAAGTCACATGGTGACAGGAAGATGAATAGAAATGGGTTGATTTAAGTTATAAGGGCTAATTAGAAACAAGCCCAAGCTATTGGCTGAGGTGTCATCATTAATAAAAAATCTCCATGCATTTATTTGGGAGCAGGTTGGAAAAACATAAATATCTGCCTACAAATGGTACCCAATATCCAGCCACATGCATCCGCATAAGAACTGAGAAAACTTTTTAAAATGTTGTCAACACACAAATGAAGCCAAATGTGACTTCCCAATCTCATGTCTCTCAAGCTGGCTGCCGTGTAGAGACACATCTCCTGGCTGCTGCCTGCATGCCATGTGATATGTTTAAAGTTTTGCAGATGTAGACAGAAAAGATTACAGATATGAAGTAAAACAGGTTCAGATGGAAAAAAACCTTTAAACAGGTTACAGTGTGTAGGCTTAAGAAAAAAAAAGAACAGAAAAGGTATATAGTCAGTCACAAAAATAAATAGTTTAAAAATAATAAAGTCTTTAAATAAAGAATAAAGTAATAAAAGAATAAGCCATATAGAGATGGAAAATATGCAAGGAGTTTGGATCATGTATGTTATTTGCTGTTTTAGAATTTTTTTTGATTACTGATGACTATAAGGTGTTGTGTTGGCTTTGAATATTTTGAATGCCAATGAGTAAACAACAGCTTCTTGGAGACATTGGACTATAGATACTGCTAAACTAAACCAACCTATGGATTTAAAAATGCTTTACTTCAAAATGGAAATCAAAAATATGTTGCACTGGGGGAGAAGTTATGCTTTTGTTTCTACTGGAAAGGAATAGCTGTGGATTCATTCCAGATTAAGAGAAATCAGATTGACTGGGGAAGACATTTTAGGATTTTGGCTAGAGACATGAGGAGGAACTCAACAAAGACTACAGAACATGTGACATATAAACACATGTAAGCTGACCCCTTGACACGGAAACACCTCTGAGAGCTAGACCACCTTGCTTCTTAGGTCCATTTAATTGGAAAGTCTTTTCCCATCCCTGTACTCTCAAGTGGCCTAAAAACATCTAAGGAAGTGCTCAACATCCTTAATCATCAGGGAAATGCAAACCAAAATGACTAAGATAACATCTTACACCTGTCAGAATGCCTAAGATCAAAAGTACTGAGGACGGCTTATGTTGGACAAGATGTGGAGTCAGGGAAACACTCCTCCACTGCTAGTGGGAGTGCAAACTTTTACAGTCATTTTGAAAATCAGTATGGAAGTTTCTAAGAAAACTGGGAATCAATCTACCTCAAGACTCAGTGATAACACTCTTGGGCATGTATCCAAAGGATGTTCAATCATACCACAAGGACATTTTCTCAGCAATGTTCATAGCAACATTATTCATAATAGCTAGAATCTGAAAACAACCTAGATGTCCCTCAACTGAAGAACAGATAAGGAAACTGTGGTACATTTACACAATGGAGTACTACTAAATGGTAAAAAACAAAAATGTTTACCTCATGAAATTCTCAGACAAATGGACAGAACTAGAAAAAAAAACATCCTGAGTGAGGCATCCCAGACTCAGAAAGACAAACATGGTATGTATTCACTTGTAAATGGATATTAGATGTAAAGCAAAGGATAACCTGACTACAATCCACAGCTCCAGAGAAGCTGGGTAACAAGGATAACCCTAAGAGGGACACATGGATCACTCTAGGAAGGGAATTGAGATGATATCTAAAAGGCAAACTGGGGGTAGAGGGGGTGGTAAATGGGAGGGGAGAGGGATGAGAACAGGAGAGAACAAGGTGGCCTAGGTGAGGAGGGATGCTGTGGAAGAGCAATAAAGGAGATATCTTAACAGAGAGAGCCACTATGGGCTTAGGGAGAAACTGGCACTAGGGTAACTCCCAAGAATCCACAAGGAGGACCCCAGCTCAGACTCCTAGCAATAGTAGAGAGGATACCTTAATTGGCCTACCCCTGTAATCAGATCGATGAATACCCCAACCATCGTCATAGAGTCTTCATCCAGTAACTGATGGAACCAGATGTAGAGATCCACAACCAAGAACAAGGCTAAGCTCCAGGAATCCAATTGAAGAGAGGGAGGGTGGAACATATGAGCAAGGGGGGTCAAGATCATGATGGAAAAATCTACAGAGACAACTAAACTCATGAACTCTAGACCTACAACTGTGGGGACTACAGGGAACCGAACTAGACCCTCCATAGGTGGAAGACAGTTGTAAATCTTGGGCTATCTGAGGGGCTCCTGGCGACAGGACCACAATACAAACCCGGTACATGAACCAGCTTCTTGGAGTCCATTCCCTGTGTTGGGATGCCATGCTCTGTCTTATCGAATGGGAGAGGGGCCTGGTCCTGCCCCAACCTATTGTTCCAGACTATGTCGACTCTTCATGGGATCCCTTAGCTGTGAGGAGGAGTGGACTGGGGGTAGGCTAGGAGGGAAGTTAGGGGGTGGGAGGGAGAGCTGTAGTTGGAATGTAAAATGAAATCAAAAAAATTTAAAAGGGGAAAAATTTCCTGTTTCTCAATAAAGTTTGTCAGATAATCTAGGCCTGTAGGCCAAAGTTGGATGCCCCAACCTCACAGATGAACCTTGGGAGACTGTCCAGTTAACCAACTGTTTCTGTAATTTCTTTTAGTGTTGGAAGTTACTTACTCTGCACTTCCTGTTTATTAAGATAATATTATATCCTTCTGGGATTTTCGATGGAGTTAAAGACTAGATAGTCATAGTCACATTTTTCCTTACTTATGATAGATGGTAAATTAGATACAGAACTTTGGACTCACCAAGACAGAATAAATAATAGAGTATTTTCTCCAAAATAGCCAAATACAAATGAACTGAACATTGTAAATGTAATTATTACCTGATAATTGTTATTATCATATATAGTTTTGCTGTACTAAAGTTAACTTCTTTCCTTTTTATTTAGACAAAAAGGGAGAAATGTTGTGAGATAATCTTTTTGTACATTGTGAAGATGTACCTTTGCCAATGTACCTTTTTAAATCCTGTTTGGCTTTTTTATTTTTTTATTTTATTACTTTAATTTTAAATATCTAGCTTCACATGTCAATCTCAGTTCCCTCTCCCTCCCTTCCTCCCACCCTATCCCCACTTCCTTCCATATAGGGGATATCCAGAGTCTGTCATTTCGCTCAGGGCAGGATCCAGGCACTCCCCTAAGAGTCCAGGCTGGGAGATCATCCCTCTCTGTGTTATGAACTCACGAAGCTCATTTGTATGCCAGGGATAAATACTGATCTACTGACCAGGGCCCCATAGGTTGCCCAGGCCTCCTTACTGACTCTCATACTCGGGAGTCTGGATCAGTCACAGCTGTCAGTCTGGGGTCCAAGAGCTCCCCCTTGTTGAGATCAGCTGTCTCTGCTGGTTTTGCCAGCCCATTCTTTGCCCATTTGCTCCTCTCTCTGTCACTGGGTTCCATGGGTTCAGTTCAGTGTTTAGCTGCATGTGTTTGCTATCAGACATCCCAGATTCACATTGTCCAACCTTAGATTTGGGAATTGTTGTTTCTCTAAGATGCCCCAAATGTAAAACATTGCTAGTAGATCAATCAGTTGACCTAATCGTTCTTTTTCAAATAAGTTAAAAATAGCAATTTCAGGTACATTATGAAAGAATAGTAATGTAAGTTACATTACCATAAAAGTTGGCAAATGATAATAAGTGAATAAATAAATGTCAATATGTCTTAGTATTTTCTGTTGAGATTGGATGAAAAAGTAGCTCATTCGAGCTTTAAGAGAAAAGCTTCAAGGCTTCAGCACTTATCTGTCTTAAGTAGGTCTTGTCACCATTCTGCATTATATATACTATAAAAATTAATTATCTTATAGTCACAAGGATTCAAGTAGTCAATGAATAGCTACTAAGGGTGCTAAAAGTCACCCAATATATTTCATTTCTCTGTCTGCCACATCGCAGCTCCCCACAATCTTGTTAAGTTCTAATTAGTCAGTGAGCCTTGTAGGAATCTTTGACACAGGTGCAACTTCTTCTGGACATTTCAGTTCACTGATACATAAAGTTCCAGACTAGCCTACCTTAGAACCTAACTCACAATAAAGTGTTAAATCATTTGCTTAGTTTACCTCCAACCCCTCTCCTGGAAGAGAAAAAAAAAGATTTTTAAATAATACACCTGAAAATTGTAAAATGATTATGAAAACCACTCACATCATTAATTGAACACATAGCTCATAAAATATGTATATATTGGTTAGGAACTACCATGGAGGTGCTGGGAACTGAACTCAGGGCCTCAGCAAGGGCAACAAGGGCTCTTAACTTCTAAGACATGTCTTCAGCCCCAAAACTGTCATTTTAGAAATAAACTTAAAAAAAGAAAGAAATCTCTCTATTGAAGCCTGTGGTTGTGTTTTTGCTAGTCCAATAAAAATTTTTAAAAATGTATATATTGTGATTACAACAATATAAAAGTCGCTTTGCAAGAAATATTAGGAAAGACTACAATAGAAGTTACCAGTGTGCAGTACAGTGCTTATTGGTGATTTCTTTGGTTTTTCTTTTAATTTTGTAAATGTTCTATGATGCTACTCACATCATCTTTCATATAAAAGATTAATTTTTAAATAGTTGATTATGTAATCATACCTCTCATTCACAGCTAATGTGAATTTTGTTTATTTGTTTGTATCGGACATTTCAGAATTAAACTTTCACAATGCAATCACCTCTGACAAGCAGGGATCCTGAGTTGAACTGTTTGTTTTGGTTTTTTGAGACTGGGTTTCCCTGTGTAGCCCTAGCTGTTCTGGTACTAGATCTATAAGATCATACTGGCCTCAAACTCACAGAGATCCTCCTGCCTCTGCCCCCATCCCCAGGAGTGGGATTAAAGACATGCACCACCACTACCCAGCTATGGACTGAAATGAGTTAAGAGAGAAGGCATCAACTTTCCTTCTTTATCTATGTCTTTTTTGAGTTACTCTTCCTATTAAATTATCATTATGGTAAGAAAGTCTATCCCCTGAGAGTGTCTCCCAAGACCACACCACTGCACAAGTGATTATAAGTGATCTCTGCCTACAGAAGGAGGTAGCTTGACTATTTTATCTTTACCTTTTCTGTTCTTCTGGTGATCATGAGATTATCCTAGACAGTTATGTGCACTAAGAACCCAGGAGTGCAAAGTAGGTTGCTGTATTTAATCCCAGAATAATTTGCAGAGGTAAAAATTGTATGACCAAACTTCAGATGATAACGGAGAATATAAAGAAGTTGCTAAGATTTATAGCACCACACAGGTAGCAAAAACAATTCAAATCAAGTTTAAAGTGATTCTAAATCCAAAATTCTTATGGGGAGCAAGGGAAGACAGAAATAGCTAATATTTCTTGTAGACTTTCTTTTCAACAGCAAATCCTAAGGCTCATTTGTTAAATCTCTTTCACTAAAAACAATTTCATTTCATTTCCAAAAGTCACCAGCTGTATTTTATCAGCATGACTCCAGGTTTTGAATCTCCCACACTCTCAGCCTGGAGATCTTATTACGGTATGAAGACTGGTAGGGTCTGTGAAGGAATAAGTTGATGGTTGAGAGAGACATTTGTGATGAGTTGGGAGCAGCTCCCTGGATTCTCCTAAGTAGACACACTGGTCTTCTGTGAGTTCAGCAGGGAAGCAAACACAGTGAAACTGGTTGGCACTGCCCTCTGTGAGTTTAGCAGGGAAATGGGTACAGGTGTAGCTGGGGCTGGCACAAAAACCCTGCATTTTATCCTCTCTGATGACCTACTTGACCAGGTCATGACTGAGTGACCCCATCTGTTGAGCCACATGACTACTTAGTAGTCTATCCTTAAATAAATTGCTACCTCGAAAATGTCCGTGAAATCAATAAGCTTAATATTCATTTGCCTCAATATGTGGATACAATTAGAAAAAGAATAAAATTTGATTTAAATACAATTTAAGTATTCAAGTAAGAAAATAATGTGCATTACTTTGCTCTCTTGGATCTGGTTTCTAACCAAAGTGTAGCAAATAAAGTAATAGGTTCCTATTTATGTTGTGACGCATATGTTGACTTACAATACCTCTCAGAGGAGCTCATGAGAGAAAGAATTGTGAGATCCATCTGTTCCCTAACACTCTACTTAAGAGGACACAATTCCCTTTAAACTCAATTATGTCACAACTGAACGCTTTGGTAACCTGCTAGAACTAGCAGACACAGTGTTATTACTGAGCTAGAGAAAAGGGAAATCCCGGAGCAGCCATCGGCTTCTTTCATTTTTCTACAATCAGCCCCTTCATATCCCTGGTAACAGTGGCATAGAAAATTCTCTGCCATCACAGCCAGGTCTGCCTCTGATGCTTTTCCCTTCACTATGAATGCTCCATCCTCAGAGGCCTCTATGTGGTAACTTGCAGGGTTCAAATGGAGGTAATGAGGCGCTTTCCATGTCTTCCGTATGCACCGTCCATTATTCTTGCAAAGGTGCTGGCTGCACACCTCAGCTGCTGTGGAAACATTGATTATGTAGTTCCCAAAATCAGAATTCACGAAGCGGTTCACCTTTATACAGTTCTCCTGAAAAGGCATAAAAAATCGACTGGATCAGAGATTTTAGACCTAGAAGGCAGTTCTTTAGACTGGGCTAACACTGGATGGCTTTGTCCTAGTGGGTAAACTCTTGGACTCTGCTATAACCCAAAGGTCTCAGATCAGAAATGAGAAATGCCCTAGAGGCAGTCAGTGTTGTAATAAGGCAAAGCAACTCAACCAACAAGGTGGCCTGAGTCAACACGGAGGTCCTTGCCTTTCTTCAATTCATGCATCATTTTCTTTTCCTTCTAGGTAATTAGTAGTGTGAGAAAGAAAGGAACAAACACAAAACAGAATCAACACCAGAGCCACTGTGATGGCCTGACTCTCGGGGACCTGTTGTTCTTTATAGTTGTGTTAGAAAACCTGAGCTGTCAACTTCAGGTTTATTGTAGACCCTCCCACCTGCAGCATTCTGGACTTCTTGGTTAAGTATACTTAAACATAACCTGTTGTGGCTTCTACATTCCTAAACACAACTAGACACAGGAATGCTGGTAACAAAAGGTCCTTTGTGTGTGTGTTCTGGCATGTGTTCTACACAGATGTTACCCGATGTGTACTATTTGCTGATGAAACCCTTCCTCATGAGCCACGAGTCAGCAGCTGAACTCTCTGAATATGCTCACAGATGTGTCTGGTGGCTATTCTTCACTGTCAACCTGACTACATCTGGAATTAACTGAAACTCAAATGACTGGGCACACATCTGTGAGGGATTTTTTTCTTATTTAAATCATTTGAATTGGAAGAACCACTTCTAAACTGGATCTTTTTCAGTGGGAAGATCCACCTTTAATCTGGACCACACCTTCTGATTACAGCCTATGTAATAGATGTGGAAGAAGGAAGTTAGCTCTCTCTTTGCCCGCTTACTCTAACTCTCACTAGCAATTCCATTCCTTCACTGGTATTAGAGCCTACTTCTTCAGGATTCTGACATATTTCTGAAGACCAGCTGAGACATCCAACCTCGTAGACTAAACAACTACTGAATTCTTGAAGCTTCTGTTGGTAGACAGCCATTATTTGACTAACTGGAGCACAACCTGTAAGACATTCTAATAAATCTCCTTTTATATATGTATATGTAAATACATATGTATTCATTCTATAAGTTGTTCTTCTAGAGTCTAGAGGACCCTCACTAATACAGTGAACATAGTTACAAATATTTTCATGAACAGTGTCTCAATAGTAACAAATTGAGCCGGTAAAGTTCTAAAACTAAAATTAACATAGACTTCTCTTTTCAATTTAACCCAAAATTTTGAAGCTACAATCTTCACAACCCTGGCTTAAATGTGTTATTGTAATGCTTTTGATAAATAAAACAAAGAACAACTGGACCTAAATAAGAGATTAGTATGGTTTAAGGAAGCCAGAAGATTTCTTGAAGTAAATGCTATTTCAGATGGGAGAAATTGGAAAAGATATTTTAATCTTGTTTTAAAGACTATTGGTTTCCCTAGTGGCTTATCTATAGGAAAAAAATACTTTCAATAAGATTAAAAAGTTAGCATCTTTTTCTACTTCTCCAGACGGGATACAGCATAGGATACAGTGTTTCATGCAGTGGTTCAATGCAAGGGACCCAACCTCAAAAATCTGTGGTGGTTAATAATGGTTTCACTACTAACTAGCCTGACTAGCTATTGGCCTGATTGCTTCTCCTCCTGTCTCCTTGTCTATGAATGAGAAGACTAGTCATTAGCTGACATGACCAGTAAGTGAACGGATCCAAAACAAACACATAGAAAACCTTATTCTCTCAGCACGTGATAAATGTCAAACAAATATTGGGGTTATGAGTACTGTCTTTTTAAAGTTAATGTTTTTAGGCCTGTCTAAGTACTAAGCACTGGTTTTGACTTTTATCCTAAATCTGGCTTGCTATGGGAATACTGAGAACCCTGATTAGAGTGATCTCTACAGGGAAGCAGAACAATATATCCTGGAGGCACTGACTTACCTCAGATGAAGTTAAATTCATGTCTCCCCAAACAACAATACCTGCAGCTCCCAATGCAGCACTTTCTCCTATGGTACTAATTAGATCTTGCTAGATGGAACACAAGGAAGTTAATTAGTCATTGGAAGATAAATCAACTCAACAGGAAGATTTCAGACTCCCTAGATTATCACCCTCTGCTTTCTTAGAATGACATAAATAGACTGACAGAATCACATACTCTGATCATATACTACATTGTGTGTGTGTGTGTGTGTGTGTGTGAGTGAGTGAGTGTGTGTGTAAATTCATGTAGGGAGTGTCCATGGAGGTCAGAAGTGTTAGATCCCAAAGACATAAGTAAGAAAAACTCAGACCACTAACTTTGAAACAACCTGGATACTAGCAAGAAGATAGTTGCACAGTGTGATCAGAAGGAAGTCTTCAAGATCCTTCTTAGGATTTAGGTGGCATTATCAAAGGAGGAATGGGACATAGCATTTCCATCTTGTATATATAACACTGATATACATTCACTCAATATGGGACCTACAGATTTGTGTGATGATAGCCATACCTTCTAAGGTTATATTAGTTTCTTTTAAATATCTTGCTCCTTTAGTGTCATTATGAGAGGGGGTTTATTGGAACAGATTAAAGACATAGCAAGTCTTCAAGTATATCTTGACCAAAAAATGTTTTCGTCATATTAGTTCACTGTCATCTGGCAGAATTGAATCACAGACCGCTACGGTCTTGGGACCAGAAAAGTAAAGACACTAAGGAAATCATTGAGAAGATGCCTTTTGGAGTATACAGGGACCACCTAAGAGATGGAACCTCATAGATGGTATCACATGAACACAGAAGTAAAGGAACAAAACAGTTGTAGCAAAATGAGCTTCTGGCCTCTTCTTTTGCCTATGATTATCAGGTTCAAATCAATGTTTCAGAAGGTAATAAGTACTTTGGTTGCAAAACAAAGAGGAAGAAGAAGAAGAAGAAGAAGAAGAAGAAGAAGAAGAAGAAGAAGAAGAAGAAGAAGAAGAAGAAGAAGAAGAAGAAGAAGAAGAAGAAGAAAACTTCCTCCACCTACTAGCTTTCATAGTGCCAAGATGGCATGCAGGCAACGGGGGAAGAAAAGAATCAGTGGTCTTACCCATCACAGTACTAAGTAACACTGCTACAATACTGACCACCCTGGCAAGTTGTGCCCACTGGTACAGTAATGACACATCTGCTAGAGGGACAATCAACTACTTTGTCCTTGAATGTGTAGCCCACTCAACAAGAGGGAATTCAGGTCTAGTAATGTAAACCTGGTCAAACGCCTGTGACTGGGAAGATCATAGGCCCTAGACTGATACCTAGCACAGCAGTTTTGTCAAGCTGCCTTTAATCACTTGTATTTATTATATCCATAAACATGTGCTATCCTTAACTTTGGTCACAGAAGCTCATCTTTTGCAGTAAGCAGTGATTCAAACAAACATAAAGTGCTGAGAATAAGAGTCTATGAGTGCTCAGTCCTAACTGGGACATTATGCCAACCCTCTACCATTCTAAGATTCAGGTAACATCAAGGTACTGGGGACAGAAAGAATGCAAGGGCTGGTAGGTGAGAAAAAAATGTGCTGAAATACTCCCTCCTCTGCAAGGCATATCATTGCATTCATGGACTTACAGCATCTATGGTTTCCTGCATAAAAATTATTACTAGTTAAAATTCTAGTTTGTTTGGGGGTGGGGAGCTCATGTGGTTCCACTCCTACCTTAGGAGCTATTGGCAGATGGTGGTTACTAGATAGACAAGGAATCATTTTTCTTTGAAAGTGGAGCCACTAGTAAGTTGCTCATGCTCCCGTGGATGGCCTCATACCCATGTACAAACAGGTAGCACTAACAGGTCTAAGTGTGTTATTCTGAAGAAGAGGACTTGAAATGGGAAGGATATGTATGGAGGGGACAACTGTGGAGAGCTGAGGGGCAGAGTGCAAGTCGGATATAATCAAAGTGCATTGTATATATGTCAGGGGCAGGGTAGAAGCGTAGGATAGGATACCTAGAGGATTCTTTCTCCATGCTTGCTCTTTGGTCCCTGGTGTGTACCAGAATTTATGTTAGAAAGTAGTCTACTAATGGGAGACATAATGGAATAGCGGTCATTAAAGAACTTCCTTTGTATGTCCCCAGAGAGACTAATTACTTACAGCAAAGCATTCAGATCTCCGGTCACAGAACATCTTTCATTGTTTTTCATAGAGCATAGCATCACATTGTGTCTACATTGAGTTTACATGTTGATGGTGCAGGCCATCCTCCCGGTGAAATGAGACGTTACTGCCTCTGTATTATTTCAGAAAGCTATGACTGCTGCCTGGGATTCTTGGGTAGTCCATGGTTGTTAGGTGCCAGGCTTTGATACTTGTTTTAAAATGACACCTATACTTCTAACGTGATCCAAATTTTCACACCCCTTTTCTCATTTGATTTTTATCATGCTTCCGTTAGGCCAGTGGAGTAGGTGATAGTGTTCCCCACCCTCTGTTGTTGTATTAAGAACTGAGACACTGGGTTCTGGGGAGGGTAAGAGATTTGCTACCTGTCCTAACTGTATGCACGCATGCATGCATTCCAAACTGCAAACATATTGGCGAAAGAAATGGAAGCCCCTCATAATCGTTCTGCATTTAGAAGAAATGAATATCACATTTTTAAAATTGTGAGTAGATATTTTTATAGTAGATCGAGTGCAGTGGTGTGTGTGTACCAGCACACTAAGCTGCCTTTCCAGATGAACATTGTGCCTTTAAATTTTAGGTTTTAATTTTCAAAAGCAAATTAATCATCACTGAAGAAAGTATTGCTATTAAGCTAAATATGCAAATATATTGGAAGTTAAAACATACTTTCTGATATATACATACATATATTATGTTTTAACTTTCAATGCCACAGTCATAATTATTCTGTTAAAATTTAGATAATTTCCCCAAACTCCCCAGAAATGATCTCTTGCCATTCTTGATTCAGCATTCACAGCTCCTTTTTGTGTGTAGTGTATGTCTCAGCCCCGGGTGAAGACTTTCACCTTCTGGATAGTGATGAAGGCCCAGCATTTTCCATACCTCCCACGGGTACACTGCTTCTTCTTCGAATGAGCATGCTCGGTACAACCCAAGCCCGAGAGTGGCCTGAGAGTTTCCTGAGCATCCATCTGAGGATGTCAAGCACTCAGAAAAGCTTTTGTCTTTCAGCATAGTCTGCTCAACTGGAACTTGCAATTGAGGAGTGAAAGAAAATGCCTAAATGCTGTTGCATCATAAATAGGATGACTGAAACAGGTTTCAAGTCTTCTTGATGCAAAAAAATTTTTTTGCATTAGTACCCAAATCCACTCTTTTCCTGGAAGTTTCTGGTTAAACGACTGGAGCAACAAAGGAAGAGAAAACCAGGCTGGAAGCTGGCCAAGTTTAAAGGTTGCTCTCCTCAGACAGGTGAGATCTCTGTCAACATATGTAACTTGAGAGCAAATAATCAGGTACAAAGATAGTACTCTCAGAGCTTTAACCTGGGTTGCAAAGCTACCCATGGTCAACATTGAATTTATAAGCCCACACCACTCTACCAGCTAATGGAAATTAGCAGTCATCAGAGAGGCAACTATCTCTAAGATGGCTCAGGCTACAGGTTTACATACTTTTAGTCAATTTATTATTGTTTCGCATTTTTAAAGTTGTTTTAAATCAACCATGATTTTAAACCATTACAGGCATGTGTACAGCTTTAGTAAAAGCAAGTACTATGCATTTAAAAGAAAGCACATTCTCCTTTCTTTATATTTGGAATGGTGAAGCCAGAAGCAGGAATGTCTTTCATTCTGCTTTCAGCATGTACCCTCTAATATCTTAACGTGCTAACCACAAACTGTTTCTATAATTTCCCACAGCAGTCAGTCATAAGGAATTCAGTAGCTACTAGCCTCATACATTAGCTCTTTCCCACCTTGCTGTGTCCCTTAAAAAACGACGTTAACAAACAAGATAACGAAATTTAGTTTCCATAAAGAAAGAGTCTAAGCAGACCAGTTACTCTAGGAAGAATAAGAAGCCATCTTTCACCCCGGCGTTGGTGGCGCATGCCTTTAATCCCGGCACTCGGGAGGCAGAGGCAGGCGGATCTCTGTGAGTTCGAGGCCAGCCTGGTCTACAGAGCGAGTTCCAGGACAGCCTCCAAAACAATACAGAGAAGCCCTGTCTCGAAAAAAAAAAAAGAAGCCATCTTTCCGCTAACCAGGTGTTCTTCAAATATTAACATCAGCAATGCATCAAAATCCTCAACCACGGGCCAAGGCGAGTCTTACCTTAGAGAGAAAGAGTAAAGGTTCCTCTCTGTAGCCCAGCCGTGTGTAGATGAATACAGGCAGGGCATAATCACGTGATGTCATGGTGGAGGTCCTCAGCGATTCATACACCCTAAACTGTGAGAAGTGCAAAGTGTGTTCGCTGTCTTTAAAGGACTTCCTGATACTGACGGCAGGGTACAGAGCAGTACTGCTGTTCCAGAGCCAAGAGAGCTCGTCGTTCCTCAGAACTTCCTCTTTGGGGCATGACCCAGTATAGTTTGTGGGATCAAAATTGTAATTGTGGCAATCAGGATATAAATAATAACCCCAAAGGCCTTTGGATCGGCTCCTGATTCCCAATTTGATAGTTTCCTCCATGAAAGCTTTTGCACTTTCCTCAAAAGTTGCTTTGGCTAGATATTCAATATCCGCAGCGGATATGTTCTTTTTCGTATCAGAAATGAGTGTTCTTGACTTTTGTCTGTAGATATCCTTTGAGTCCCAGTTCCGGGCCCACTGTGGGCGCCAATATTCCCAGTCTATAACAGCAAGTCCGCTGAAGTTTTTGCCAGGGATGTAAAAATTAATATCCTGGGCAGCCTTTTCGAGATGTGCTTGCAAGCTTGCATTTTGGGGAAGACCCCCATTGATGGGGACCCCTTCTGACGTATACCATGGGTAATATCCCAACTTGTTGACATAAAATATAGTAACATTTTGCTCCCCATCTTTGAGCCGAGGGCTTCCAATCATCTGAAAGATTTTCAAACTCAGTGTTAAATTGTATTTTATCAAACACAGATCTGTTGGAGCATTCCAAGCAGCTATAAAAGGTTTCCTTTGGTAAAAGGGAAGTCTGGCAGGTTTTAAAGATGAGATGGACTTCAGGATAAAAAATATGAGCAGCCCTGATGTCAGATGCATGGCTGAACAACACATAGTCTTAATTGTCCTTCGGATAACAGTTTCATGATAAGGTAGAAACCTACACTACGTCTTCTTCAACGTAATCCAAAAGGCCTGTGGAAAGATTTAATTTTCCATTAGTGATTACTTCCAGGAGAAAGGATGCTGTTATTGTGTAGTTATATTTTCAAAGCACATGTATTTTAAAGTCATAATGACTTCTATAAATGAAATTATATGTGAAATCAAGTGTCGTGATCAGATTTCTATCCAGGGATAAGCAGAAAGATTCAAGAAGTGCAAGGACTGCAAACCCTATATGTCCAAAATAAAATATAAATAAGATGTGTGATACAGGAATGGGCTCCCAAAGCCCATTCCCTATGGAGGACGGCGGAAGGCCTACGTCCTGCCCCAAATGTTGTGACAGACTTTGATGATTCCCCCGTGGGAGGCCTCACCCTCCCTGAAGAGTGGATGTGGGGGGTGGGATGGGGGATGGTGAGGGAATGGGATTGGTAAGTAAAATAAGATTGTTTTTAATTTACATAAAAATAATCTAAAAAGATGTGTGATACACGTTGAAAAACAGATGTGAAATAATATTTATAACCACTTTGGAAAGCTTGCCAGTCTCTGGCTCTACACTCAGATGCTTTAATTGTTTTATTGTAACAATCATGGAGCAGTCTGTAATTACATCCCCATACTGAAATGAAGTGCCCTGACTGATGTCACATTGCGTGAAAGATAAGGCTACACAAACAAACACCAGACAAAATACGCGGTAAGTTGGTGCAGTGATTAACGTGGCTGTGAGGGATGGAAGGGAGCTAAGATCGGTGGTCGGGACGCTGCATGGTGCTGCACTTGGGCTGACTTGAGATGGCTACAGACAAAGAATTGCCGCATTCCTTTGTAGTTAAAAGAATTACCTTTAGATAACCACAGCAAAGACCTTCATGGTGTAAAGCATTCCTCTGTACCAGTGAAATGGAGATGCCTTGTGCTTAAATATAGCGCCATGATATTAAGACATGTCGTAGATATTTGCTGGGTAAGGGTCCAGGAATCAGATCCCTTTCCACTTCCTCTGTGGTGAACTCTGCACCGCGTGTCTTGGTAAATGTGGAGTCCCTGCTTCACTACTAAATAAGCTCCAAAGTCCAAATGCTTCCCCAGATTTGATGTTGATTTGGACCTTGATAAGACCACTTAGATGCATCCTAGTCTAGCCTTTGAATTGAGATCTTGGAATTCAAAGAGTCTAAGAGGTAACGTTGATAGTGGTGATAAAATCCCATCATCCAGGAGATGGCTCAGTAGGTAAAGTACTTGTGATAGATGTGTGAGAGCCTGAGTTTGGATCCCCAGCACCCCTACAAAAGCATGTGTAGTGGAAACTCATCTGTAATCCCAGCATTGGGGGAATGTAAACAGGTGGATCCTAGGAGGTCACTAGCCAGTACCCTAGCTGAATTAATGAGTTTAAGGTTCAGAAAAAGACCTGTCTTAAAAACTAAGGCAGAGAGGGATAAATAAAGACATTGGCCATTGACCTCTGGTCTTCACACGTTCACATGCAGGCAAGTGCACCTGCATACACTTACACACACACACACACACACACACACACACACACACACACACACACACACACACACACTTCGTTGTCCAGAACCAGAAATAACTGGGCATAGGGGCCATCTAATGTTCGTGTTTCTGCTGTTTGGTGCCAACTTTATTCTTGCGATGCAGAACTTTTCTGTTTGCATATGGTAGGTTTTATTTGAAAGCAGAGACTGTAATAGAGGCTCTTTCTGTGGAACCTCTGACTTCGGAGAAGCACCTGAAATACAAATCTTTGTATGCGATTACCATTTTAACCACCAGGGGTCACCAACCGAACCTCATAGTATTTCTCAGGCCTAGCCTGATAAAGACAACAAAACTTCCAAGTAATTTATCAGACCATTAAAAGACATTTAAGAAGTCCTAAGTAAACTGACACATTCATATGCCACTTTTTAAAATTAAATATTTTTGGTCATTGGATCAATATCTACTCCTCCACAGCCGGAAGATGAATAAATTTACTCTTCCTACTAACGTACAACTGACCTTTGGTCAGGCTTCATCAGGTCCCCTTTCCCTTCCCATCTGTGCAACTACAGCCCCTGCTTCTGAGTCCTACTTTATCTGGACCAAAGCACAGATCACTGCCTGAGTACCACACCTAATCCTAAGCATCCCATAGCAACCTGTCTTTGCTTTCTGGTCTCTTACTCCTCCTCCTCCTCCTCCTCCTCCTCCTCCTCCTCCTCCTCCTCCTCCTCCTCCTCCTCCTCTCATTCTCTTCTCCTGAAGGTCTAATCCTTTAAGCACATCTCTAATTGGTGGAATTGAAGAAATGACAACATATTGCCAGTATGGATGAGTGAGGAGTTTAACTGCGGCTCATCCCCTAAGGTTGGTTATCTGTTTCTCTCTACTTAGGAGTCGGGTTTATTTGGGAACAAATAGGAGAACCATCTGTGAAGACATTTTGCAGGGCTCTAAAGAAAAAGGAAGTAGGTTTCTTCTCAGATATTTTTGCTTCATAGAAGAAAGAGACACCCAAGAAGGTTTCTTTACTACTAAACAGATTTGGCTTTACAGTTCTGATCTTGCCCACTGAAAGATGAACATAGCAAAGGTGACAGAAAGGTGTGATGTATTTCTAGGAACACCCACCCCCTCACCCCACCCCACCCCACCCTCAGCCAGGATCCTACCTCTGATTCACTTTTCCAGATAATGAAGAAGATGAGTAGATGTCCCTTGGGTGGAGACAGATAACCCACATACAGTCTGGGGTCTGTGATGAAACCACTCTCCTCTGTTCCTTCCACCAGAACAGTTGTGATAATTTCTATTTAAAATCTAAAACGAATAACCCATTACTCAGAAGCACTGAGGCCATGGAGTGTAACATTAGATGTGGGCAATTTCGCAGGGCAGCAAAGTTAGGCAAGTTCATTGTCAAGGCACAATAAAAAATGAGAAAGTGTAAGGCCCCTTTTAAATCTTGTTCAAGCATTGGGGATGGGGTGTGCAACACACAAATACCAAACACGCCTGTCGGGGAGGAACGAATGACTACGAGAATGGTTCTGTTTGTGTGGTTTTCGGTTTGCTTGTTTGTTGGCAGTCCCAGGGATGAAACCCAGGCTCCTGTATGTAACCACTCTTCTTTACCCACCCTCCTACTCCTCCTGCCTTCTGATAACCTCCAACCCAGGGGGTACCCTACCCCCATTCCTAGACTCACTTTCAAGCCACCCAAACAAAGCCAAAGTCCTACAGGTGGCTCCCTGACATCCTTTTGCCCAGGGCTCCTGCAGGTATGAGCACTCTGTCCCTTGTATAAACAATAAGCCCCCTCAATTAAGTACAAATGTGGCCTGGTTGTCTTCAAAGATCTGGCACCTACGTCAATGCACAGGTACTTAGCATTCATTCCAGAAATATTTCAGTAAGAAAAACTGAACATATCCGTAAGCACCAGGGTGACTAAAAAGAAGTTCCTGTGATGACCTGCCAGGGACTTGTTTCAAAGAGTAATGAGTAACAACCTTCTGGTGTTTTTAAAAAAGCACCACATTAAGAAACAAACAAACAACAACAAAAAAAACCCAGCCGGGCAGTGGTGGCGCACACCTTTGATCCCAGCACTTGGGAGGCAGAGGCAGGCGGATCTCTGTGAGTTCGAGGCTGGGCTGGGCCAACAGCCTCCAAAACAATACAGAGAAACCCTGTCTCATTAAAAAAAAAAAACCCTGAATATTTTGTTCTTTTCTTCTTATGAGAAACAAACCCAGAGCATGGAAAACAGCACTCTCTCCCTGAGCTACAATCCTAACTCTTGTTTATTTTTTCTTGGCTGGGTTTAGATGTTGCTTTATTTTTTGTTTGGAAGACTAGATCTTTCTCTGTGCACAGGCTGGCCTTGGCCCTGTGAACGTCCTGCAATCACCTCCCAAGTGCTGGCGTAATGTTATATCTTAATCTTGACTTACAGCGCCGAATGTTTCTCTTTTCATTCATGAAGCAAGGATGGTGCTCAGTAAGATTAGAGCAGTTACCTTGGCAACATGTAAAAGCATACACTATCGACTCCACGTTAATGTATTACAGAAGAAATCTAACTCCCTGATTTATAATCCTTTCTTTCCTTTTCATGATATTGGGATTTTGTTTTTAAATATCTTTTTAAGATGTCAGGTGAAATACATCAAGGTTTACAGAGCTATCATAGAGTTAGTTCCTAGTCTCTTGGGAATCCAATAAATGTGATTTTACTTCCAAATTATCAAAGAAAGTTCAGCTCACTGTGACGGTTTATTGGGCATTATAAAATACATAAATACTTATCAAATGAAAGGCGGAGTAGAGCTGGTGATCTCAAAGCTGCCGCCACAATTCTGCAGTAGTAACTACTAGCCTGCTCTCCAGTTGCAGTTTATGGAGCAACAGTCCATCGGAGCCATCCTTTTTCCTGAAGAATTCCTTCTCTTTTAAATGTCAGTGTTCAAGAAAGATAGATGGATGGATAGATAGATAATACTATACATACATATATATATACATACATGATAGATATGTAGATATAGGTTTCTCAATGGGCTTTTCCCCTTGGTTTTTAAATTAAAACTTTACCACCAGTTATGATTCAATCCATTTTATCACTGTGCTCCTTGAAGACTCATAGTTTATAAGTTTGTCCTGAACTTATTGTCAATCTATTTTACATAGTAATTACAGAACACAGTTATATATACCTTCTTTGGAACAAACTTTAAAACTATTGTGCTATCTGAGTTCGATAAGACTGCTTCCTTTCTATTCTTCTCAAAAATAAACTTGACTTTGTAAACATATAAAAGTGACTTGTTGTTTCCCCTGAGTGCAATCCTTCCCTAGCAAAGGGAGGATAGATACTCAAAAAGGCTCAGAAAATTCACAAGAAACTCATAAGATGCATAAGGCCCCTCCCCAGGCTCTATAATTGGCCAACAGCTGCTGG